CCTCCTCCTCCTCCTCCTCCTCCTCCTCCCCTCCTCCTCCCTCCTCCCTCCTCCCTCCTTCTCTTTCCAGCCCCTCCCCTCTTCCCCTTTCCTCCAGCTTACAGTTATAGTCGCGACAGATGGCAGCTCCAGCTACCCCAAGGTAACGGTGATTGACGTTCTTCTTCATGTCCTTCTAGTATGAAGGGATCGTTCCTGAAGAAGAAGAGGTTCTGGACACACCAGCTGAGAAGGAGATGACAATTGCGAATCTCATTGGAGACAAAATTGACATCATCGCCCCTGTGAATTCTCCTTCTCTGGATTTCAATGACAATGAGGACATTCCAACTGAGCTTAGTGATTCCTCTGAGACTCATGATGAAGGTGCTTGGCTGGCATCCACAGGTGTCATGGTGGGGTTAGGGTTTATTGTCCTTCTGTGTCTTACCCATGTTCAGTACCATAGTTGACCCAGTTGACTTGGGTTTCCAAGTTAAAGAGTTCCCTGTCCCTTCATATTCAGCATCTCTGTATTCTCACCTTAATTTTTCTCAGAAACATGAAATCTTTTGTATTACTATTTCTGTGTTGAATTACTTAGGGAATCTGTATTTTTAGGTTAAGGGTTACAGGCTCCATGAATATTCTCATGGCGAATTCCATTGTAAGAATTAAGCTATAGAAAAGTTTTGATGTTATTGAAGAAAGTTGAGTTGTGAAGAAGCATCTCGAATGGTAGCGTTCATCATGATGCATTTTTGGTGGGTCCTATTGTCCTGAAGACAAAGTGGTGTGGCGGCCTAGAAGTGGACCTCCCACCTTACAATCAGGAGGCTGTGAGTTCAATCCTAGGTAGAGGCAGATATTTCTCTTTCTGGGCATGATGAGTATATATCTGCTGAACAAAACTCCGTATTGGTGACAGGAAGGGCATCCGGCCAGTAAGCACTCGGCTCCATTCCGTTGCCCAGATTCCACCCCACAAGAGATTATGGGGTCATTAAAAATGATGTTATCCTGAAGACCTCTAAGTCTAAAGCTTTTGAATTTGTGGTTCACTTTTTGAACAAAGTTGGGCTTAGCTGTTTGGACCTAGACTTGTTTCAAGTATTGGAGCATCCATGTTATATTTTTGTAGTGAGTTAAAATACTCTTTATTGCTTGACCAAGATAGGTGTCCTAGGAATCTGACCTGTTAGCTTTACACTTTGTTCGTCAGGGGAGGTCCAGTCCTTTTATGAAGATCTGAATGGACGACAGTACATGAATGAAGTCTTCAACTTTAGTGTGGATAAGCTTTATGACCTGCTCTTCACAAACTCTCAGTTCTTAAGGGATTTCATGGAGCAACGACGGTTTTCTGGTAAGCCCTCATCAGCCCATACAGGAAGTCCTCAACTTACAACTGTTGTTTTTGTGACTGTTACAACAGCATTGAAAAAAAAGTGACTTTTAACGACCCTTTTTCACACTTACGACCACTGCAGCCTTCCCATAGTCACGTGATCAACATTTGGACACTCGGCAACTGACTCATATTTATGACAATTGCAGCATCCCAGGGTCACATGATCCCTTTTTGCAACCATCGGATTGAGCAAAGTCAATGGGGAAGCCAGATTCACTTAACAGCCATGTTATTGATTTAACAACTGCACTGATTTACTTAACGAATGCGGCAAGAAAAGTGATAAAAGGGGGCAAAACTCACTTAGCAACTGTCTCACTTAGCAACAGAAGTTTTGGGCTCAATTGTGGTCCTAACTCAAGGACTGCCTGTATACTGTAAGCAACCTTGTGTCAGGGCTCTGGCAGTTACCCCCATTTAAATCATGAGTCTCGAGCCAAACTTCCAAAACTTCAAAAGGATTTATTGGGAGTTAACATTCCGGCATTGCCTGGGTGTAGCCGACTCTGAGACACCTAATTCATTGTCACCCTTGACCCTAGTTCTTCCCCCCACCCCCTGGGTGTATCATAATTCATATTCTCCAATGGGACACATCCATAGCCAAGAGTCATCAATCATGCTCTCCAGTTAGAATTTTGTGGCAGAAACTTCACTCACCTAGATACTATCTTTGAAAACATTTATGGAATGCAGTTTCAGTTTTGCAAGTTGCTGCACTGCTCCCCGCTCCCTTTCTGCTGGCAACTCTAAAAAGACCATGGAAATATTTTATGAGTTGACATTCGGCTCCCCTCACTTCTTGAAGGTCACCTGTACAACACAAAAAGAAAACAAATTTATTGCAAGCATAGGACTTAGGGTTGTGAACCCCTTGTCTATCAGCTGGCTTCATCTCACCCATGTTGGATTTCAAGCCCATTTTAGATACAAAAACATTTTTTGACCCTATCTGCAAAGCTTTTAATGTTCTGTGAATGGACCAGGACTCTCCAACATATAAACCTTTCTAACCTCCAAAATATAGCAGTTTTAAAGGTTTGGGTTCCAAAAATTTAGATTGGGATGTGGTGGTGGTAAAAATGAATCCTCCTAAAATTCATTTTAATTTTTAAAAAATCCCTGGCCCAAGCAACAATGAGTTCTCAACTCTTTCTGATCTTCCTGCGTTGCCTAGTTCTCTTCTCGGATAATATTAGAAAGCTGTAGTTGTAGAAAATAGCCTTTTTCACCTGCAAGAATAAATATTTTTCCAGTTAACGCAATTAGCATTGGATTATTTCTTCAAGAAGCTCAAGTTTATTGTAAAAGGGATTACTAAATGGGCTTCAGTGATGGAATCAGCTTTCTGTTTATTCTAGTGGATTTCCCAGAGAAATGCAATCCTCTGAGAAAGTTTAGCAAGTGGCTTAAAATCCTCTTAGGGTCTTTAAGTCCCTGGACACAATCAAAATTATTATTATTTTTAACTATCTACGGTCTTTTAAAATCCCATCAGGGCTTCTTTCATTTTGACTGAAGCAAATTAAAGTATTGCAAAACACACTTAAGGACCATTGGAAAGGTGCTTTTTCAAGAGGCAACTGGACTTTGTTTTTCCTTGAAGACGTTTCACTCGTCATCCAAGAAGCTTTTTCAGTTCTGGAGTTCAGTTCTTCAGAACTGAAGAAACTTCTCGGATGAGAAGCGAAACGTCTTCAAATGGAAACAAACACAAAAGTCCAGTTGCCTCTTGAAAAAGCACCTTTGGGATAACGATGACCTGGATGACAGAGAATCTCCATAGATTTAAAGACCATCTTACTCTTTTATTTACTTTCTTTTACTGATATCTCAGAACTTTCCTAATTTTCTTTTTTGTGTTACTTTGGCTGAACTTGAGCAAATCGTGGAAGAAGGAGGAAGAATTTGGTTTTGAATAAAAAATAAAATACAGCATAGATTGTAGACTTCGTGTAAGACTTTTTTAGATTCCTGAGAGTCGTATCAAATTTGGGAGGTATGTTTTTGACTCTCGTGTCTTCCTCTTAATGCTGCCTTTCAATCTCTGGATCTGAAAGGGTTCAGAAGAAAGTCAGTCTTTACAAGAACAATCATCTATGGCTCAGCATCAGTTTTATTTTTTTTAAAAAAAGGAGGGACCAAGAATAGACCTTTGAATTAAATGGAACTGAGCCAAGTTAAGAACTCATGCTAAACAATAATGTCCAGTGTCTGTTGTGTTGAATCATCCAGCTTAAGTGGTGGTGGGGTCATCCGCAACACTTGATCTTGGAGTTGGTCTTGGGAGAATATTTTTTCTTTCCCTTGGGAACTGAAACTTTTACCTCCTTCCTTCTATGATGCAACATTCTCCCTTCCCTCCTCAAAAAGCATCCTTTGCTTCCCTTTCTCCTTAGATGTTGTTTTTCATCCATGGAAGAAGGAAGACACTGGCAATCAAAGCAGAGTTATTCTCTACACCATCACTCTCACCAACCCTCTGGCTCCAAAAACTGCCACCGTTACGGAAACTCAGGTAGGAAACTCAGCTTTAGCCTTTGAAGTCTCTTGGTTTGAGGTTCTTCTTGAAATAGGGACCTTGGGTCCTCCTCAGTAGATCAGATGCTGACCATTTATGGTGCTGCTTTTCTCTTCTCCCCAGACAATGTACAAAGCCAGCCAAGAAAGTGAGTGCTATGTTATAGATGCCGAGGTGCTAACTCATGATGTTCCTTACCACGATTATTTCTACACAATTAATCGTTACACATTGACGCGTGTTGCCAGGAACAAATGCCGACTCAGGTGAGTTTAAGTTTGATGGCTTCTGTCTGAAATACTTTGGTTGGTGTCTGTTTCTGTGCCTGGAACAATACATTTCTGACAATAATTTTTGGTAGCTCCTGAGCCATTTCAGTAAAGATCGGGATAGGTTTTCTTTTGGAATCTCTGTAACTCAGCAATAAATTTTTCAAAGAAGCTACCATGTTTTCCCAAAAGTAAGACCCTGTCTTATATTTTTCGCCACCAAAAAAGGCACCAGGTCTTATTTTCGGGGGATGTCCTCCACCGACTAACCTCACTTGTGTGCATCGCCCCCGGCCTCCTTTTTGCTGTGAGAGGCTTTCAGGAACTTCTTCTTCTGTGGCTGGCAAGGCTTTCCTGAAGGCCTCTGCAACTGATAACAGAGCTCTGGATCGATCCAGAGCTTTATTATCAGCTCCAGAGGCCTTCAGGAAAGCCTTGCCAGCCTTGCCAACTGCAGAAGAACTGGGCTGGCAAGGCAGGTGTCAGGGTGTGCGAGGCCTGGCTACAACTGTCCAAAGGTAAGTAATAGGGCAGCTCCACTCCCTCATCCCCACCCCAGCTTAATTTTTACCTGTCCACTCTGGAGTGGTTGGGATCTTAATTAGAGCTTATTTTTTTTGGGGGGGGGGGGTAGGCCTTATATTGAGCACATGTGTAAAAATCAAGCTAGGACTTACTTTCAGGGTAGGTCATATTTTGTGGGAAACGGTACTTTGGATAAAGATTTAGATCAGGGACAACAAACCTGGTGAGAAAATTTTGCAGGGAAACAGATTTGAGCCAACTAAATCTGAATAGATACTTGGAAGATGGTGGCTTGTTTCTTACTAGCACCTGGACAGCCAACTTATAAGGAAACTACAGCGATAGCTTAGAAGGCCTTTGAGATTCTTTTCATTGCTACAATTTTTCATTTCAGGGTTTCTACAGAGCTACGTTACAGAAAACAGCCATGGGGACTAGTGAAATCCTTCATTGAGAAGAACTTTTGGAGTGGTCTTGATGACTATTTTCGCCACTTAGGTGAGAGGCTGCAGAGCCTATCCAATGGAATTACCTTCTTGACCTTTCCATTCATGGAACTGGATTTGTTGTTGGAGTCAACGGTCAATCTCCAGATCATGGATGTCGAACCTTGGCAACTTTAAGATCACCTATCTTAAAGCTCCCAGAATGACTTCAGCTCCCAGAATTCCCCAGTCAGCCATGGTTGGACACTCCTGCTGTAGATAAATCTGGAGACTTCTTCATAATTCTACGTTGATAAATAAGAATTCATATTAAGATTTTAGCCCTGCAGTCTAATACATCAGCACTTTTGGAAAAGAGATACGTAAGAACTACCAAAACAAGGAATTATTCAAGGTCCTTGTCAGAACAGAGGAATCACTTCTACTCTCTTGAAGTACTAATGCTGGTCCTGACCTAGCAAATAGATCAGTAGTTTGTCACTGAGCCTGCAGGTTCTGATTGAACCTGGGTTTTGCCTCCTATGGAATATTCCTGGATTACATTGCTGAGATTTGTTAACAACCTGCCCAACAAAAGTCATGTTTTTGTTTAATTTAGGTGGAAAAACAAAGAACATGTAAGCCTTCAGAATGGTGCTCATTGTATCTTAAATTCCTTCCTCCCAAGTCTTCCAAACATTAGGTTCTTCCCCGTACAGTTGGCTTCACTCATTTGCAAGATACCTCCAAGCAGGCCCTGATTGTTGATGCTTTTTAGAATATCACCATCGTCATCATCTTCTTTTAATGACCCCATAATCCCTTGCGGGGTGGAGTCTGAGCAACTTAATGGAGCTTGCAGAGTGTTTTAATGTCCGGAGGCCCTTCCTGTCACCAATGCGGAGTTTTGTTCAGCAGATAAATTCTCAGGGTGCCCAGAGAGAGAAATAGAATATTGTTGTCTTACCTACAAAATAATTGTCTCCTCTCTAGATTAGAGGTTAGGAAGAGATCACTGCCTTTTGACCAAGCTGAACTATTCCTCTTCTTCCCTTGTCCTCTTCTTTCCACCTGTCTTCTCTCTGGCAGAGAGTGAATTGACCAAAACCGAGAGTTTGTATCTAGCAGAACTTCATAGACAGTCACCCAAAGAGAAGGCGAACAAACAATCCTCAGTGCGGCGAAGGAAACGACCCCATACACACTTGAGGGGGCCTCATCTGGAGGAAGTACTGAGTCCTGTTACCACTCCCACAGATGAGGAGGTTGTAAGTCGAATCAAGCGTGTGGCAGGTATGATGTGACCAGTTGCAAGAGATGAAGTGTGGTTGGGATCGATGGGATAGAAAGAGATCTAACAGTATGGTTTCATCAAGGGTGTAGCACAGGCATCTTCAGTGGTAAACTGAATCATACTTCTTGGAGGATTATATATCTAAAGCAAGGTTGAGACACCTCCAGTTCATTATCTACGGAGATTCTCAATCATCCAGGTCATGGTTGTCCCAATGGTGCTTTTCCAAAAGGCAACTGGACTTCCTTGGGTTGTTTCCCTTGAAAACATTTTGCTTCTGAAGAGCTGAAGAAGCTTCTTGGATGATGTTTTTCTTTTGGAGAAACAGCTTTGGGACTCCAGTTCATTGACCAAGTCTAATCCCTCACTTGGCTGGTGTGGGAGATCAGTTGATTTCCAACCCTAACCACAAACTTTTTGAGAGCAAACCTTGTTTGATTTCCATTTGGTAATTTATCTTTGTTCCTTGGCAGTTGAAGACAGTTTGTCCTTGCTCCCTGGCCTGATTCCAGGGTTCCTTTTGTTCTCCCTGTCCCACTCAAAGAGCTACTGTCGGGGTTCTGACTGATGAATATAACCAAACTAGCACTGTTGAGACAATCCGATCCCTTAATGCAAAACTTATATTGAGTGCATTATTTTGGCACGGAATGAAAGCAAAACCAGCTCTGGATAATTCCTGGGCAATTCAATATAATTAAAGTATAGAATCCTCTCTCCCTCTTATTAGTGCAGGTCACATTGTCCAATGGAGCATCACAATATTGTTATGAGAAGAGGTCTTGAATGTCTGGCAATCACCTGCTGACTCGACCTTGGTTCTCACGGCTTGACTGCTTACAATCCACATTCCAACTCCCCTCCCCCCTCCCCCCCCAATAGTTAGTTGGCAAGCTGGGAAGCAGTAAAAGTGAAAGCAGCCTGTAAATTTCAAAGCTTGACAGTTACGTGAGATGGATCTTCAGTATGCTTGAAGGACAGCCTGAAGTTGTGCCTTGCAGAACTAGCTTTGAGAGGATGGGGAAAGAACATCCACTCTAGGTGTCTCTTCAGTCAACCACCTCTGCTCCTTTTCAGGTTCCACTCAAACACGGCACATCCCTGAAGAAAGTCCCAGCAGCTTCCATTTGCAGAATGTGTCCAAATTACTGCTTGTTATTAGTTGTGTGTAAGTAACTCCTTACCCTGGCTTGATTCCTTTCCCGCCCCCCTTTCCTTCTGCGATGGATTGTGGATAAGCCAACATTGATTTCACTCCCCGTGGGTCTAATTTGAGCGTCTTTTCAAACTCCAGCCTCTGACAGCGTTCACCTGCTGGTACAAAATGTCCCAGCAAAGCACCGTCAGAAAACGTTATTGTCTTCATGCTTGCCCATAGATCGCCAACAGAACCTTGGCTTACCGCCTTCATTTTCGCACCACACCTTAATTGTTTTTACTGCTCACACATTTTTATTACCTTGATTGCTTTAATGTTTTCGGCTTTTTATATGCAAATTGGGAGTTAGTTGGTCTGAGTTTGGTGGCAGAGACTGGAATTAGAGGAGAACATGTAGAAATATAAATGGTCTGCTTACACCAGTGATGGTGAACCTTTTCGGCAACCAGTGCCCAAACCAGACCAAGCATACATGTGCATGTGCCAGAGCACCGGAAAACCGAATACCATCTCGCCGGTGCATGCATGCCTGTCTTTTGGCTGTTTTTCACTGTTTTCA